CATTGCCTGCTCCTTCTCCTTACGCTGAGAAGACAAACACCTTACACAGCGTCGTGAGCCTGCATCTCGTCCTGCCTCGCCTGTCCGCGCTGTTCGCACTGGTCGTCATGTTCCTCGTCCGCGTCCTCCTCCTGTCCCCGGCACTCACATTATGGCACTTCGTCCTTCCTCTGTTCCACTGCGAGTTCCCCTGCCGTATCCTCTTGCAACCTCTCTTGCTCACGGTCCGGACCCTGAGTCTGACTTAGTTTGTGCTGCCAGTCCTACTGTCATACGTCTTTTAGCCACTTCGTCACTGACCCTTCGTTTGAGTCCGCTGCTGCGTCTTCCCTAGTTGGTGAGCTTGTTGACTTTGCTGCCGCCTGTCGTCTCGACTACGCATCTTGTCTTGTTGCTAAGTCTGAGTCTGACTGTCCTCCGTCCGTCGGGGGTGAGTGTGCTCTTGGCACGGACGTCCTTGAGGATAGACAAGAGGACTTTGAGTGTCTTGCAGCTGCTGTACCTCATCTCGTGGCCATGCTGCTTGCACCTGAGGGAGACCCGGATGCACCAGACATCCCGACCCCGCACTCCTACGCAGAGGCGATTACGGGTCCCTACTCCTCTCAGTGGCAGACAGCCATGGACGTAGAGATGGAATCCTGGAAGTCCACAGGCACCTACGTCGACGCGGTTCCCCCTCCTGGGGCGAACGTAGTCGATGGCATATGGATTTTCAGGGTGAAGTGACTGACGGGTTCTCCGCCTGTCTTCAAGGCTCGTTACGTTGCACGAGGCTTTAGTCAACGACAGGGAGTTGCTGCCCTACCCTAAGGATGACCACTCTTTGGGTGTTGCTGCACGTCGCCGCTCAGCGTGACTACGAGCTTCACTCTCTTGACTTCAACACAGCTTTCTTACAGGGCAGCCTGCACGAGAAGATCTGGCTGCGCCGCCCACCTGGTTTCACTGGGTCGTTTCCTGCAGGTACCCAGTGGAGCCTCCGGCGTCCAGTCTACGCTCTCTACCAGGCACCTCGCAAGTGGCACGACACACAGAAGACGATGCTTGCGGCTCTTGGGTTTGCTCCTTCGACTTCTGACCCGTCGCTGTTTCTACGCACCGACACTTCGTTGCTGCCGTTATACATCCTCGTGTACGTCGACGACTTGGTTTTTGCCATTGCTGACACTGAGGCACTGGCCCTTGTGAAGTCGGAGCTGCAGAAGAGACACTCCTGCACTGACCTGGGTGAGCTGCGCAGCTATCTTAGCTTGCAGATCACCCGGGACAGAGCACGGCGCACCATCACCCTGACTCAGTCACACATGGTGCACCAGGTCCTTCAGCGCTTCGGCTTCCGGTACTCCTCGCCACAGTCCACTCCTGTGCCTACCAGTCACTCGCTCTCAGCTCCACCTTTGGACGAGTCCGTAGAGTCGAGTGGCCCGTATTTAGAGCTTGTGGGCTGCCTCATGTACCTGATGACCTGCACTCGACCTGACCTTGCCTACCCTCTTAGCATCCTGGCATGCTACGTTGCACCCGGGAGCAGGGCTGACTTTTCGAATAAAACCACTCTGATTTTTTTGGCCCCCCAATTTTTTTTAGTCTGAGGCCCATTTTCCAAAAAGTGAATACTCTGATTTCTCAGGAACCAGAGAAGTATAACTCTGAAAATTTTATAATTCATAGACTAAGGCAGGTTTTCCTACTAACGAACCTTTTGCACAAGTTCGGAGGGATGGGTTTTCCTCGAAGTAACAGGTATGGCGAAGGGGAGTTCGTACTCTGTAGTATGAAAACTCATTATCCGGTAAGCAAGTTCTCTGAATTTTTCAGTATCGAAAAAACCATTAGTCTGAAGCACTCATTTTTCAAAACCAGCCAACTCTGAAAAGTCAGGAATGTCAGGAAAATAGTCTGAAATTTCAGACAATCAGACTAAAATAGTCTGATATCGTCAGCCCTGCCCGGGAGACACCGACAAGAGCACTAGGAGGCCGTTAAGAGGGTATTGCGCTACTTGTGCAGTACATCGGGCATGGGGCTCGTGCTTGGAGGACGGAGTCCAGTTGTCCTCACTGGACACGCAGACGCGTCTTGGGTTGACGACTTGGTTACGTAGCGGTCGTCACAGGGTTACACCTTCAGCCTTGGCTCCAGCTCTGTTTCTTGGCGGTCTACCCGCTCGTCTTCTGTTTTAGGTTCCAGTTGTGAGGCTGAGATCTACGCAGGGGCCATGGCTGCACAGGAGTTACGCTGGCTCACCTACTTGCTGACCTACTTGGGAGAGCGGCCTCGTTCTCCTCCAGTTGTGTACGTAGACAACAAGGCCATGATTGCCTTGTGTCAGGAGCACAGACTGGAGCACAGAACGAAGCACATCGCTGTGCCTTACTTCCTTGCTCGAGAGTTGCAGCAGCGTGGTCAGCTTCGTCTTGCTTACGTGGCCACTCGGGCCAACACTGCTGATACATTCACCAAGGCAGTTCAGGCCTTGTGCATACTTTGCCTCGCTTGCTCACTGCGTGACTTTGCTTGTACTGTGATCTATCTACATATACCTGCATGCTTACCCCTGCTAGGTTATGATTACTGTACTGTTTGTTCTCATTTATATAATTCTGGCATTGTGGCCATTTGCTTGTGCTCAGAGTGTGTGGTGACTTAGTGATCCACCCTGAGATTGCTTTGCTTTTTCTTGACTGGTCTTGTGACCGCCTGTTCTCCCCCACTTTGTCTATGGGGGTGTGTCAAACTCTTATAATGTTTATATTGTGTAGGCTGTAGTGGGGTAGCCCATAAGGGGTACAACCCAATTAGGGTTAGTACTTGTACCATCTTTCTTTTCAATTCAATCATTCTCTCGTCTAGTTTCTGACAAGCAGTACACTATGATGCTTTTCAATAACACTAACCACGGAGCAGGAAGCCATTCCATCCTGCATCTGCAAGTCGCACCGCATGGTATGGCGTTGCACCGAGGCCAGCCAACACATGCCTGCATGCCAATCACACGTGAAAGAGAAGCAAAGCACCCTATAGATCCGCACCTAACAAGACACCCAACCGAGCCCACCCAGAATCACAACACAACCAAAGCAAAGCACTTCATGGCCACTCATCCAAGCACCTGATTCTTCTGAAGCAGCAACTCATCCAAGCCAGCAACCCAATGGCCAGAGCACACAGCAAGCCAGTGAGCACAGACTCCTTCTCATCACACTCGCAGCAAGCAAGTCTCCCCTCATGAGGCAGCCAGCTTCTTGCTGTCATTCTTTCTTTTGAACACCACAAACACCAGCAGCTAGTTGCTGTCATAGCAGAAAAACACCCCCAGCAAGGATCCACTCCGTTGCACTCCCAGCAGCATCCACGTATCGGCCAGGAGGGCCCATTCACAAGGCAACCAGCTAGTTGTCATAATTGAGGAACACTCCCAGCACGGGCCCACTCCACTGCTCTCCCCAGCACCACCCTCTCAACACAAGCCCCCCTCAGAAAACCATAGCCAGGCAGCTAGTTGTCATAATAGAGGAACACCCCCAGCACGGGCCCACTCCACTGCTCTCCGGTTTCGCTGTTGGCCACAATGAGAGAGAGTGACGAGGGAGGGGCGGCGATATACGGTGGGGTTACTGGCATGAAGTTGCTGCTGCTGTCGTTGTTGTCGCTGCCATCATCGTTATAATCACTGCCGCTACTGTCACCGCTGTTGTCACTGTCCTGGTCGTTATAGTCACTGCTGTTGTCGTCGCTGCTGCTGCTGTCCTCACTGCTGGTGCTGTCGTCACTCCCATCGTCGCCACTGAGATCGTCACTGTCCTCATTGTTCTCGTTGTCATCACTCCCATCATTACCACTGCTAGCATCACTACTATAGTCACTGCTGCTGCTGTCATCGCTGTCCTCATTGTCAGCACCGTCATTGCTGCCATCATCGTTATAATCACTGCTGCTATTGTCACTGCTGTCACTATCGTCACTCCCGACCTTGGCACTGAGATCGTCACTGTCCTCATTGTTAACGTTGTCATCACTCCCATCGTTACCATCATCATTGCTGCTGCTGTCATCATTGCTGCTGCTGTCATCATTGCTGTTGTTGTCATCATTGCTGCTGCTGCTGTCACTGCTGCTGCTGTCGCCGCTGCTGCTGAGATCGTCACTATCCTCATTGTTCTCGCTGTCATCGCTCCCATCGTTATTGTCACCAGTGCCATCCTCCCTCTCCTCCTCCCTCTGCTCCCCCCTTTTCTCCTCACTCCCCTCATCCACACTCTTAACCGCAAACAGGCTCTTAAACCATGCATCTGCTGTCTCCCACAATCCCCTCCCCCGCTGCCCCACCCTCTTCCCCACACTGCCACTACTCACACCAAACCTCCTCCCATAACCATATCCGTTACCGTTACCATTTCCGTTGCCGTTGCCAGGACCATAACCCTGGCCCCATCCCCTCACACCATTCGCCCAATCCTCTGGTACAGTAGCATTGGGAACGCTGGCCAGAATATCCTCGATAGTAGCAGCATCGACATCCTCTAAGGTGTCAAAGAGCCGAGCTACAGTAACGGTGGTGTGGAGGCCCCACCTGGCGGGGCCACCCGTTGAGTTGGCGAGCTCCCATTCGTCGGCGGCAACAGGGAAAGAGAAGAGGGTGGGGGCGGAACTGTTGCAGCTGGTGCTGCTCTTAACGAGTGTGATTGTATCGGGGACGGAGGATGCGGAGGTGATGTTACGGATAATTACGGTGTAATGGAGGTTGAAATGGCCGGTGGCATTCCTGGTGGAGTGGGAGAGAGGGACAAAAGCGAATCAAAATATTTGGTGACCTGGCTGTAAAACGAATGTCAATTCAGTATATGAAACACTCCCCTTGCCATCATGGGATGTTGCTGGCAACAGTTGTAATGTGCACATGCATGAACTATAGTGAAATGGAAAAACTAGGCATTACTTATTAGTGAACACAAAGCTGAAAACCAGTTTAAGTGAAAGAAAGAGAAGTTTCTCACTTGAAGATGGAGAGGAAGAAGGAGCCTCCGGAGAGCAGCGGAGCATCAGAAGAGCAGCTGGAGAGGGATGCTCTCCCCCGACCTGTTATAAGCACAAACACATAAAAGCACAGTCACATACGAAACAAAATCACATAAAAGCGCACAACAACGATTGTAAGCACTCATTGTCACACCCAACACCACATGGGAAAACAGTCGGCGACCCCCCCCAAAAAGAATTCTGTCCCCCGAGAGTCTTACCTGTCATGTTCCCGAGGGCAGGGTCCGCAGCGCCACACGCGAATCCTCCCCCTCTGCTGCTGTTGACCCACGGGTTACCACCCCCGCTCCCACTCACGCACGGCCCAGATCCGTTGCAGCAGGGTGTGGAGCCATCCGAGCCGTTCACACACGGACCCATGCCAGAACCGTTACCGTATCCGTTCCCGTTTCCGTTTCCGTAACCACCGCCATAACCACCGCCAAAACCACCTCCAGCGCCAGGGCCATACCCACTGCCGTTTCCGCTCCTGCAAGGCCACGTGGTGCTGTTAAATGCCTCCACGTCATCCTCGTCCCACCACCACGGACCGTTACCCCGGCCGAATCCCCCGCCCCTCCCAAACCCGCCTCTTCCAAACCCTCCCCTTCCGCATCCAGATCCGTTATTGCAAGCTCCCGTTCCGTTAAAGCACGGGCCTGTTCCGTTAACACACGGAGCAGTGCCGTTTTCATCCAGCCACCACGGACCCCCGAAACCCCAGCCAGGTCCATCCCCGTTATAGCACGGCCCGGTTCCGTTCAAGCAGGGCGGCGCTGTAGCGTTCTCGTCCAGCCACCAGGGCCCCCATCGGCCCGTCGCGTTGAAGCAAGGGCTGCTTTCGTTCCAGCACGGATGACTCTCGTCCGTCGCGTTCGTATCCAGCCACCACGGCCCTCCAAATCGACCCGCTCCGTTACCGAAAGGCGGTCCAGGAAAATCACTGCTAGAAGACTCATTGTAGTCGTCGTCGTCGTCCCACCAAGGACCGTTGCCGCCGCCTCGACCGGGTCCGTAGCCACCACCACCACCACCCTGACACGGCCCGCCAGCACCATTGCCGCCAGTTCCGTTCATGCAAGGCCTGGAGTCATCTCCGTTATAGCACGGCCCAGTTCCGTTCAAGCACGGGGCTGTGGCGTTCTCGTCTAACCACCATGGGCCCGCGCCCCAGCCGCCTGATTCGTTATAGCACGGCCCGGTTCCGTTTAAGCACGGCGCTGTAGCGTTCTCGTCCAACCACCAGGGGCCCCAGCCGTCCGTTACGTTGTGACACGGGCCGGATTCGTTGAAGCACACATGAGTCCCGTTGAAGAAGCGAGGCCCGTTCGTGCTGCCGTTACCGTTACCGTCATCGGCCCACCAAGGTCCTGGACCGAACCCAGCACCAGCACCAGCACCAGCACCAGCACCAGCGCCGCCACCGCTGCCGCCGTTCCCGTTCCCGTTGCCAAGTCCGGGGGCGTAATAGTCGTCACTTCCACTGCTGTCATCGCTGCCACTGCTGTCGTCACTTGCACTGCTGTCATCGCTGCTGTAGTCGCTTCCGGCAGCGTAATCGTAGGCGTAACCATTACCGCCGTTACCACCGCCCCCCTGACCGTTACCGCCGCCGCCTTGACCGCCGTTGCCCCATCCGTTGCCCCCAGGCCCGCGACGAGCCAAGACTGCAGACGAGTAGAGAGAGAGAGGGAGGGACGACGGGGAAGTGGAGGGGGCGAGAGGGAGGAAGCAGGGCGTTGAGACAACTGTACGGTTCAGAGGCGTTCTGAAACGGACACCGAAACCAGCGCCGTACCTGGTGACACGAGGAGCAGTGCGGCGCAGAGGAACGCGACCCAACGGCGCGCCATTCTTGAGCCGGGATGCGCTTCGAGGAACCAACTCTCGCTCCGCGTGAGTCACTCCGTGAGTCACACCAGTATCAACTTGATCGTAAGTCGAAATGGTCCTTTTAAGCCTCGAACGGACAGAGATGGTACTTAACAATTCGCGACCGAGACACCGTGTCGCCCAGGCTGGCCGACGCTAGCAGCCGCTACTAATTATCACGATATGGGCGAGCGGATGACAAACGTGGAATGACTATGGAATAGATTAGAATCGGGAGTAGTCAATCATCTTTCTCTGGGACAAGCGGATGAATTCGTAGGCTCTTGTAACGATCGATTCAAGCACCCGGGCTTTATATACTTGCTTCTGAATCCGGCGTCTACGGGGGACACAACCACCCAACCACCCACCCACGCATATCGCGGGGGGAAGAGTCAGGCGCAGCAGCACTGTGGTGGTTCGTATAGGCGCTTACGCCGCCGCCGCCTCTCGCTCACCGTGACGAGAGATGATGGCTCGTCTAGGAAGGGCGCAGCGGAGAATCCCCCTCCCCATTTCCCCTTTCCGCCATTTCCCTCCCCCCCAGCTCCCACCACTGGCAACGCCTGTTGCTTGCGTTTAGGATCCTTCGCGGGAAAATAATGCGAAGCCCTAAGCGCTTGGTCAACGCGAAATTTCATCGTGGGGCGGTTTGCGACGGTCTCGTACGACAGGTGTCAGATCTGGCGACTGCGAAAAAAGGTGTAGCAAAAGGTTCCGCTCCGCATCTACTGCTCAACCGCCGGGTATGAGTAAAAAGGGCTCTTAGCGAGAGAGATTTGTGATGGGAGGGAACGACGGGCAGCGATGGCCCAGTTCTTGTTCAACGCGAAATTTCCTCGAGAGGCGGCGTGCGACGACCAGTACACCCAGAATCGACCAGTCCCAGAATCTACCTCTGCTTCGCAAGAAAGCCCCGAACCCATCAATTCAAACTACGAAGAAAAAGTATTCGCGAGCCGACGTGGCAGCCCCACGACCAGTGCGAGCAGGTTTATCTACGAGGCTACCCAATCGCCATCTATTTCGCGCTGCTGAGCTGTTTGAATGGCCACCGCCCTGGCTTGGTTGAAACCTTTTTAGCCTGAACCTTCTGGAGAAAGCACACCTCAGCCTAGCTCGCAGCCCCTAACCACGCGCCCCACCATTTTTGCTAGGGCAACTCAGCAGAGAGTGTATCCTCGTTAGGCAACAGGACGAGAAGGCCCAAATTCACGATAAACTTGCGTTGCACCACCAAGAAATCACCCAGTAGTTTGTTCATGAATTCGATCAGTCGTACGAAGGTGCTGTTCGGGAGGAGGAGAAATGAGGGGGAAACCATCACTAAATAAGCTAGAAAGTAGGTTCGGAAGCCCAAAAATCGCGTGCGACCCCCATGCGACCTCCGTCGTGACCAAACCTCACGGTCTGGAAACATCAACATCAGCAACCACTCATCAGCGGCTCGAGATACCGACCTCGAGCCCATACCGCCCATTGACTGAACAGTAATCACAGGCAAATTTGTGGTGACTTTCCGCTCGCCATGCTACCACGAGCGCAAGATGAGTAATATTTTCCTGGAAACTTTCTGGGCAACATAGAGTGGTTCAGAATGGTTTAGAAATTTTCTTTTGAGAAGGGAAATGGAGCAGGGATGGGATGTTCTGGGGGAGGTGGTTGTGATAGAGCAGCGCGATCTTTGACTTCGATTTCGTTGTGATTTTTGCACGGATTACGTTGTCTTTTTTGCCCAACATGCAGCGTTGACTATGCAAATCCCTGTCCGTTTCTCCAGCTGTCAACACTGTACAGACTTCGGTCAACACCTTACAGTGTTCCAAGTGGGTGTTTGTCCTTATCTCGATCAAGGCTCGGTGCCATCCCTATTACCGACTTTGCGCTGATTCTCATTTCTAGGGCTCCCGAACAGCACCGAAATGTGACGAAGGAAGCGTAATTGTATCCAGTAGCGACTAGATCGTTCGGGTGATTGGTTGGGCACGATGCCCAAATTGACCGCAAGAAGGCTGGAGCAGCGCCAGTCATTCCATGTGACATGGTCAGCTGCCAGGCATGCCGAGCCGCGCTTGTAGGGCAGGCTGGCGCAAGCACGCGGCCCGACTTGACACAGCACAGCAGCAGGAACCGAAGGTTCTGACGAAAGCGGTGTGTAGAGGAGTGTTGCTTTCGAGGATCACATTTCATATGGGCTATTTCTCCATTTTGCTAACCAGACTTTGTGTGGCTACCACAAGTGTACAAAGTCGAGAAATTGCTTACCGATGCTTTCATTGTCGAACACTTGGGCTTTGATTGTGAAAATCTGTGCGTGACAACCGCGGCTCGACTTTCGGGCGGGATTTCCCGCAGGATTCAGGGCTGCGTCCCAATTCCGACCGTCAGACCCACTGATGCCTGCGAACCGCGCAAGGAAACAAATGCGTCAGGCAAGGGATGCTATGGGGCGAAGCGAAGCCAAGGTGCTTGCTTTGGTCCTCCAAACCTCATCTAAACCAACGAGGTCTTGCCACCAACGGCTACCCTAACCAAGGACAGAATTCTCGAACCACACCGCACATGGTTCACGCCAAGGCTGTGGTTCTCAGCCTGCCCCTAAAATTTAACCTCATGATTTACGATTGTGTTTACAGTCATTTACAAATTCCAGAACTCATCAGCGGGCTAAGCGTTATTTCTATCTGGCAAGTGAAGAATTAACAATGCAGCAAAAGACACCAATCGTTCACAGCCTCCCTCGTTTGCTGTAACCGTTTTTGTTAATGAATCTGCAGATCCTTTGGTAGTTCTACCTGACCTCAAAGGCTTCATTCTGAACCAGCAAGTTCAAAGAACCAGAGCGCCCGCTTCGCTCAATTCCGGACCTACCAGTTCCGCTTCGGAGCAGCCTGTCCCGCCCGAATCCGCGTTGTGCCATGTGTCTGACCGACGGATCAAGCCGTCTCTGGTCTGGCGATTGGAACTAGGCCTGGACTGGACACGCTTCTGTGGATGGAAAGCTCCAGTTGCATCACCATTCCCGTAAGTTCAGCTCAACCCCTGAGAACCGACGTATACCGAAATGAAACGATGCGAATGATATGTTACACCTTTACTTTCTCCCAAGCCCCTCACATCCCTCTGGCCTTTCACATCCCTCCCCCCACAGCGTCTGACATACCGTCTAGCTTTCCCCCTCCCTTACCACCCGTACTGTATTCCCTCCTCCCTACTCCCCCCACACAAGCTTTCTGCTTATCCGCAGCAGCGACCGAATTTATCGAGGGAACCTCCTCAGTTGCTGCTTGGTCCGCTTCATTTCTCTCCTCGGTTTTGATTTCACGTCCTCCAACTTCTGGAGTAGTTTCAAGGCTTCTGGCGAGTTGGAGATTTCTAGGAAGACCTTGGTGTGGGTATTGGTGTCTTGAGCCATGGCGTTCTCTAGATGGCCCTCGTGTTTGGTGGTTCTTCTGCTCATCGCTAGCTCGTGCCAAGCTCAACAAGTGATTCGGCTTGGGTTCCTCCTACCGTATCCTGATGGCGACTCCGCCGTTCCGCAACGACTCGCCGACGAATGGTTAGACCCCTCACCCGAGAGTCTCCCGCTAGGTCACCTCACGTTTATGGTTCGGCACTGCAGAGATAATGACGAGATATTTGTCTAGTTGTGTTCATGTCGACTCCAAAGTCACCGCTATGCTTCTGTGAAATGACCAGGAGGTTGCATCCAAATGACGAAGGGTGCATCACAAATGCATCTTAAAGGTTGCCACCGTCGCAAGACAATTGATCGTGTCGGTCACGCGACAGCTTGTTATTGCTGTTACAAGTTCCGCAAGAGAGATTTTCGAAGGCCTCGTGAGAGGTTTCATCAATAGATTCTGGCCTCCGACGTGCATAAATGAATCCTTGCATCTCGTGCGTCCAATGCTGTCGTGGCAGGATCTCCGCCGTCCGTGTGGCTCTGGAGGTGCTGGGACCCCAGTACGAGAACAACTTCGTCGTCGAGCCGTTCGTCCAAAACTCCGCATGCGACGCCGAAGTTGCCGCTCAGGCTGCACAGGTGGGTCTGATCTGTCACAATAGTATCATTTTTGTCTGCCTAGGAAAGGTTTGATGAAACGTGAAGGAAATCTCTCAGGATATGTGAGTCACGGTTCTTCGCATCCTATATCTCCGACCTCCAAGGAGACCTGGCGTGCTGGTCACGATTCGAGGACGCTCTTAACGGGGTGATCCAGATATCGTCTCTTCATAGGAGAACTGACATGCTGAATAACGAGGATGCCCTTAACGGGACGCATTCAATAGGATGCGTCGCTTTCGTCTGAACGAATGTCCTCGGTGTTACTCTTTCGACAAACATCCGTTTCGCGTTTTCCTTGTTGGTATTGTCATGTCGCAAGGTCACCGCTTACCATGCTCAGCTTATGTGCTCTCCGTTTCTTCGTCTTCCCGTGTCTCTCGAATTTCAGCGGCTAGTCTACACGAACGTGGTCGGCGTAGTGGGTCCGGCGTGCTCCGAGGCCGTGAAGGGTGCGAACCCCGTGCTCAAGGCGGCCGGAATTCCGTTTGTCTCCTTCGCCGCCACTGCCGACGGCTTCTCCAGCGACGTCGAGTACCCCACCTTCTTCCGCACTGTGTACGTTACTGCACGGGTAACCCAATTATTGCTTTCGTCTCGTTCGCAGCCACTGCCGACGACTTTTTCAACGACCTCGAGTACCCCACCTTCTTCCGCACTACTATGTACGTTACCATCTAGCACCCGTTAATTGTCGCTGGTAACCCGTTCGTCACTTTCGTCGCCGCTCGCCGCCACTGCCGACGGCTTCGCCAGCGACTGAGAACCCACTTTTTTCCGCACCGTGTACACTATCGCTGTTCATTGCGCACCCTCCACTGCCTTACTTCACACTGCATATCTTACTGTCTTCTCACCGTATGGGATTTTCCCGTTTGATCCCTGCTTCTCCCGTTCCTTTCCCGCGAATCTTCC